GTCTTCAGTGGAGCACTGACCAACAGTAAGGAGTCAAGGGACTGTGCCTTGTCCTCGTCATGGACAAACAGACGACTTCCCCAAGGAGATGGCAACCTCTGAGCAGGTGGAAGTCACTCTCACTCGAGGTCCTAAACCACAAACTGAGAATAGACTTAAGTCAAGAAATTGATTTTTTATATCTTCAATTCTATTCGATGTATTAGCGTAAAAGTTTGCAACTCTTTAAAAAACATCAATTAAAATATATGTTAAACATTTTATTTTAATATCGAAATTATTTCCAAAGTTATATCATTTTGAAATATTGACCTAAGTCTGTTCTCAGTTTATGGTTTTTGGGCCTGGTAAGGGGTTCTCCTCTTTAGATTTAACCCCAATTGAACCAAGTCCCGGAAGATAACCGGGAAGAGCTTAGACAACGCAGATTATTAATTTTATCCTTGAAAATATTTGACATCATTCTGAATCCCTTAATTTCATTCTTTTCTTTTTAAAAAATTAGCTTAAAAGAATAATAGATTAATCCCTTTTTTTAATAAAAAAAACATAAAATACGATTTCTTGCATTTTAAAAAGCATACTATAATTAACTGAAGGCTTCATGGTTGTTGTAGCTGTGAGTATATTCAAATACTAAAGCCATTATAGAGAACTTAATTTAGCTTGCAATTTGAAAACTTTAAATTTTATTTTGGCTTTGATAATTCAAAAATATCATTTGAACTAAGATAAATATACTCAGTACACTGTACGTATATTGTCTTAAAATTTTTTATATAAATTTGTAAAACGCACTATATACTACTATATTTACCATTAACATCAGCATGTTTCAATTAAAATAAATGAATAATGTATCCCTAAGTTATCTTCCCTGCACGGATGGATCAATGACATATAAGAAATTCTACAAATGAAAGCACAGGGACCATTCTTTAAAAATATTCTATTGCATACATAAACAACTCATCCGGAATGAAGCATGAAAGCAAACAGCAATGGTTTCCGTTCAAATTGAAAAGATAAAAAAAAGTTTGCAAAAACCTGTTCTCGCTTATCATAAGAATAGAACCAAACTTTCTTTTTTACATTTCTCATACAAAAACAGGAGGTCAAAGAATACATTATCCTTTTGGTAATAAAACTTAAGAGCAATGAAAAAAAAAATCTGTTGACTTGTGGCTTACCCTGTCACTCTCATTGTTATCTTTAACTTTTAAGATAAATAACATTTTTTTTTTACAGATATCACTAATATTTCTCATAAACTTATATTGCGCTCTTTCATATTTGTTCATTCATAAATTCATTTTTTAAATTCAAAACAATACACAAAAGAATTTACGAGCGTCATCAATATAAATTATTTGTGTACACAGGCTGCACATTCCAGTCTGACGTAACTTCAAACTGTAATGTGTAGCCTGTGTACATGAATAGATTTATAACTACGTCAAGAATAGAAATATTCCCTTCCTTCAAAAAATGTGTTTTCAAATCCTTGTAGTGTCCTCGAATTTATACGCATTGTTGAAAAATCGAATATATCTTAAATCAATAAACTAAATATATTCTAATTACTTTGAGTTGTTTGAACAAATATTTTGTCGCTGACGTCGTTTCAACTGTATTAAAACATATACTTTGAGTCCCGTTCAGACAGACAACCTCGCTTTTTCTGTCGAGTTTTGACACATATTTGTAAGGGTTTGTTGCTTATTACAGTCTATATATTTTTACAGCCAGGTTAGTAACCGATACTTAAGATATATTAAAAAAAATGTTCATAGCCTCCTTATTTGAGCTTCAGAAAATTTTAATTAAGCTTTGACTTTTTTTAAATAAAAAAATAATCATATTAATCCAAATACTTAATTTCAAATTTTTTGGCAGTAATCGACCCCCGAATTTTACCAAAATATAATCTGCCATTAATAAAAATTAAGTCTTTCTGACTTGGTTTTTCATGAGAAATATTTTGATATACATTAGATATAAATAGAACCATTTGTTTATACAAATACGTAATTGTCCACGAAGTTCTTGGACAACCCACGTAATTTTGCCTTGAATTAATGTATTAATTTGCTTTTGTGAATTCAAGTTTGCTTTTAATCTTTATCAATTCTCATGTACAATTAATGAAAATAAAAATAAGATTCATGAAGCTAATGAAATATATATTATATACTGTAAAGCGAGAATATTTGGCGCACTACTAATTTTAGCGCATTTTGAGCAAGAGCTACTGAGCGCTAAAATTTTTTTGTGCGCTAAAGGATTTCTAAATATCATTTTTGTGTGTGTTCAAAGCTTTAACATAAGTACATGTAAACCGGAATGCTCGATTACGTAATGTCGAAGGGTCATTGGATTTTATATACACACTAGCACTGCACATGTTATAATGAAGACAGAACGTTCCGCCAAATTTTAATTAAACTAAACTATTGTTACCCTAGTAGTTGTTACCCGATAATAATCATTAGCACTTTCAAAGTTTGGCTTCTCAGCGTGTCAATCATATATCGCCTCGAGGTAAACAATGCAATCAAGCATGGCGATTGAGCTTGCAGACAATGCCTGATTAGGATTACCGTTTTATCAAAGTAATTTTCTGTCGATGCACGCATTGTTTTAATATGATTTAAATGAGTAAATACTCCATTGCTTTTAATTGAAAATAAAAATAAAATAAAATTTTATCATTGTGCCACGTCCATGTGATAGCAACGCGTCTCGCGGTAAAGTTAACGAATGTTTACTGGTATGCGTTTTTATCCTGAGCTCATGAACAGATTTCATCCGGACCTTTTTTTTTTTCTAAAATATTGCATCAATTTTAAGTTCTAACATTAAAAACGCATTCTTCAATGCAAATTGGAATAAATATACAATGAAAAAACTGCGATTAAATTCCATTTAAGTAGGATTGAGCCAGGAACTATATTTTGTGGTGGACGTTTCATTACCCCCCGTTCACACATAGACGCCGCTTCTACTACGATCAAAGCGTGTCCAAAAGCGTGGGCGATCGTGACAAATCGCAGGAGACACGTCGCGGTGTCGTCATAAGCGTAATATGATCGCAGTAGGGTCTTCATGATCGGAGAGCTCTACGCTCTCACCACGCTTATTTTGAACATGTTCAAAACAAGCGTAGCGGGATCGTGGCCAATAAGAATCGGGATGAAGTCGTAAAAAGAGCGTAGTAGAAGAGCCGTAATCGTACAAGCAGCGCGGAAGCATCGTAGAGAGATCTTCATGATCGTAGTAAAAGCGCCGTAAGAGCGTAGGAACTTACCAAAGACGCTTACCCCCCGTTCACACATAGACGCCGCTTCTACTACGATCAAAGCGTGGCCGAAAACGTGGCCGATCGTGACAAATCGCAGAAGAAACGTAGTGTAGTCTTCATAAGCGTAGTATAATCGCAGTAGGGTCTTCATGATCGGAGACCTCTACGCTCTCGCCACGCTTATTTTGAACATGTTCAAAACAAGCGTAGTGGGATCGTGGCCAACAGGAATCGGGGTAAAGTCGTAAAAAGAGCGGAGTAGAAGCGCCGCAATCGTACAAGCAGCGCGGAAGCATCGTGGAAAGGTCTTTGTGATCGTAGTAAAAGCGCAGTGAAAGCGTAGTATAATCGGCAACCTATCAAGTACGCTCCTACAACGCTCACACTACGTTCTTACTACGTTCCCACTGCGATCTCTCTACGTTCCTGGCGACCCTTCTAAGACCTACAATGACGCCACGCCGATCATACCACGACCTCTCAGGCAGCTGGTTTTTTTTTAAGTTTGACCAAGCATCATCTGTCAATTACATGTATAGGGTGACGTAATAAGTGACGTTCATTTGCATTTGATACTTCGAACTTGCAACAGTAACAATATAAAATGCCCCGAAAACCGCGTGGGAGAGGCCGGGAAAAAGTTGCAAGTTCTGTGACTCAAGACCCCACAAATCCTGCTGAAGAAAATCCTGAAGCTGGGAATGAGCATGATGAACCTTCGACTGTTGAAGCTGGTGCTCTTCCCTCCACGGAAACGCCTCAGCCTGATGATCCCTCTGTTGAATTCAATGTAGAAGAAAGTAGTAATGTTCTTCAGCAAAAGCGCAGGAAAATGCAGGCAGACCTTACAGAGGACCAGGAGCAGACTATGGTTGAATGGCTCAGTGCACATCCAATCCTTTACAACAAAAAGCTAAAGGGGTATAAAGAAACCCAGAAGAAAGAATATCTCTGGAGGGAACAAGCTAATCTGCTTGGAAAAGACGTTGACATAATTAAAACCTGGTACAGTAGCATTCGAACAAGGTATGGGCGGCTGAAGAAAACGCGATCTGGTGCTTCCGATGAGGAATTAACAGAAAGGGACAGTTGGATTCTGCGTGAGTTTGGTTTCCTGCAGCCCCATATCATTGAAGTCAAAAAACGCACCGCTGTTAGTGTAAGTAGATAACTATTTAAACATTATAGGTTCGAAATAATGTCATATGCTTGTATGTTGATGCCTTTGGAACAAACGAATTTCCAAGCAAAAACTGAAGAGAAAAAATGGTTTAATAAGCATATACCACCCCCCCCCCCACACACACTTTTTTTCCACCTCTACCTCTACCTCTACTATTGAAAATGTTCATTGAAAGGTTGGTTGCCCCCCCCCCCCTTTTATAAAAAAATTCTGGTACTTAAAGAACTTGGTTTAGAAAAAAATTGGCCTCAACCCCCCCCCCCCCCCCAAAAAAAAAAAACGGTGTTTTTGTAATCCTTTTTATTTTATTTATCTATTTTATTTTTTTTGGCTTGTCAACTTTTTCAAATAAGTATTTTTTTTTCTCTGGCTCCCCCCATTTCAAAAGTGATGCTATATACGTTGCTGTTTAATTACGTAGTAATTAAAAAGCCAACAATAGGACAACGCGATGTTTGTTAATTTTCATTACAGAAGAAAATGTTGATAATGTATCAATTCTTACTTATTTTCGTAACAGATGACGGCGAAGTTGGTCCCAACTAACCCCGAAGAGACTTTGACATCAGACTCTACTGAAGCCCAAGCTGATACTGCTTGTACAGACTCTCTTCACGTTAACGCCCTCGATGATTCCGCTACAACGGTATCCACTTCCACAAGTGTATCTTCAACATCAACGTACTCAAGAGCCTCCCGAACTCAAAACCGGTCCTCTGATGATCCAATCTTAGCAGACCTGGCAAGTAGTCGGGAACAGCTTATTAACTTGCAGCAAGAGTTGCTGGGTCGCATCAAGAATACACCTGAACCTAATGAGCGTGATGCCTTCATGGAGTGGGTTAAGAAAGCCGTGGCAGGCCTAAATAAGTCTCTTTGGCGCCGCTTCCAGACTGACGTTCAACAACTGGTGAGCCGCTATATTGACATGCAGGAGAAGCAGCAACAACAGATCCAGCCAAGACATGATCTTTCCTCAAACAAGGATAGTGATTCCTGTTCCGTACAGTGGCAGCCTAATCCCACACAATGGCCATCCCAAGTCGTCAATACAACGTCTGTGTGGGGATCTCAGGAACGTGCTTGGGTGCAGAAGCAGCAGTTTCAGCAGCAAGACAAGCAAGCAGGTACCCCTCCCGTTAGTAGACCTTCACAAGAGGGATCAAGTGTGGTGTTCGCAGGCCTAAGCTCTCTTTTAGAAATGGATGACGGACAACATGAACGCCAGCAGCAGTAAACGCTAATCAATACAATACATAGAAGACACATGCAGTTCTAGCAATATCACTTTATTTTTAAATTTGCAGCAGTCTAACTTCTAAAAGTTATTTTGAAGTCGTGTCAGACATGCAGGTAATTGACATTAGTAGTTCATTTTGATTTTAAAATCAGATCAGTTAGATTTGTGATGTACCCTGTTTATATGTACAATTTTGTGCATTTATTTAGTTTTACCTCGTGCATGTTAGCTTCTTGTCTCCAGGCACCGGGCTCCGTATTGTGATTATCATCTTCCTGGTCAAGTTGGGCATTTTGTAAAGCCGGGTCGCGCAATCTCATTTGGTTATGAAGGCAAACACAACACTCAATGATGTCTTGTATCACTGCTGGGAATTGCTGCATGATTGTAAGTAATACCTGCCATCTTTGTGCCAAAATACCAAAAGCATTTTCAATCACACGGCGACCCCTTGATATTCTGTAGTTTGTGATTAAGTGCTCTCTAGTTAGACCCCTTTGCGAATAAGGCTTCATCAAATATGTCCTCAACCCAAATGCATCATCTCCCAGAATAAAGTAGGGCATCGGCTCGTTGTCATGAGGAAGTGGGTCTGGCACTGGAAATCCAATTGCTCTGTCTTCGAGGCACTTCTTCAACTCAGATTCGTTAAAAATTTGAGCATCAGACATTGAACCAAGACCTCCGCAGTCAATCCATAGAAATTTTTAATCAGCATCTACCAGTGCTAGTAGCACTACGGAAAAGAAGTGCTTGTAATTGTGGTAAAGCGAGCCACTGTTCGGGGGACATCTAATGGCCACGTGTTTGCCATCCAGGGCCCCGCATGCATGTGGGACATTCCATCTGTTCTTGAACTCGTCTGCTATGAGAGACCATTCATCTGGAGTTGTTGGACATTTTATTACTTTGTCTTTAAATTCTGCACAAATAGCCTGGCAGACCTCAGGAATGAGACACGCTATCGTATTCTTAGGCACTCTGAAGTTATACATTAAACTAGGGTACTTATCTCCTGAAGCGAGATGTCTGATAGTAATAGCAAGCTTGACACCTGGTTCAAGCGCTTTCCTCCAGCCTGTATCTTTCTTCTGAATCCTGAGCCCAACTCTCTGGAGCAGATCATCAAACATCGCTGGTTCCATCCTCAAAAAGTTGAAGAAAGAATTGGTGTCTTCCATTCTGAGTTCTCGCAGAAGTGTGTCATACTGTCCAAACTGGAGCCTCCTATCTGCAGATAGCCATGGCCGTACCCAGTATCTCCTTGGCCTTCTTCTGCGCCTCAACCTGTAAACTATCTGTTCAATTTCAAGTTCCACTAACATTTGTTGTTGCTGAAGTAAAGCCATATGAATCAGATTAGCATTCATATGTCCGTTCATGTCTGAAGTTTGGACAGAAGAGAACAATATGTTTTAAACCCAAGATATAAATACATCATCGCCTAAATCGTACTAGAAGCGTATTACAATCGTAGTATGACCGGCACCACCGTAGCGATATCGTCGTACAGTCGTCTAGGTCTGTGTAGCGTCGTAGTATGATCTTGAATATCGTAGTGGTATCGTAGCATAAACGCAGTAAACACGGCTGCTGGTCGGCAACGGTCTTCGTAACATCGTAGAAGAAGCGTGTTACCAGCGTGTTTGACGTAGGAGCATCGTAGTACGGTCGTAATGAAGACCATAATTTGCCAAATTGCTCTGTTTAGACGCCGATCGGCTACGATCTGCACCGATCTTAAACTTTTTAAGATCGTGGCTTGATCGGGATGATCGCCGTAGAGTCGCAGCTCTGTGTGAACGGGGGGTTATACAACGCTCCCTCTGCGTTCGTACTACGTTCTCACTACAATCTCTCTACGCTCCTGAGGATCCTACAAAGACCTACTATGACCTTACGCCGATCATATCACGACCTATCAGACAGGAGTTTGTTCTTATAGCGCTGATATTTGACCAATCATCATCTGTAAACTACATATAAATGGGGACACTATACTTGAGGATCATTTACCATTGAGCATTTTCACATCTTATTACAGTTATAATTGAAATTGTCCTTAAACCATGTGGTAAAGGCCCAAAACAAACTGTGGTCGTAAGATATGCATCATCGCTAAAATCGTACTACAAAAATCTGCGGTTGCAAGATATATTTTCATCACCGCCAAAATCATAGTAGAAGCGTAATGCAAACGTAATATGATCGGCACCACCGTAGAGACATCGCAGTATAGTCATCTAGGACTGTGTATCGTCGTAGTATGGTCTTCAATGTCGTAGTGGCAGCGTAGCGTAAACGCAGTAAACACGGCTGCTTGTCGGCAACGGTCTGCGTAACATCGTAGAAGAAGCGTGTTAGCAGCGCGTTTGACGTAGGGACATCGTAGTACGGTCGTAACGAAGACCATAATTTGCCAAATTGCTCTATTTAGACGCCGTTCGGCTGCGATCTGCCCCGATCCAAAACAAATTCAGATCGTGGCTTGATCGTGATGATCGCCGTAGAGTCGCAGCTCTGTGTGAACGGGGGGTTAGAAGAAACTGATCAATATATCCCTTTTTTACTACAGTTGTATACACAGTACTGTTAATTTCAGATTCCTATTTTCCATGCTGGTTGCACACAAAGCTGTTTTTGCACAAATGATATCCTGGTTCTGAAACATCTATCAAATCATTTCTTATGAATATTGTAAATACATGTAAATACATGAACATTCTAAAAGTTCAGGAAAAAAATGAGCCAATTTCAACACAAAAAATTTATTTTAAGTAATATTTAAAACATTACGTCATATACCCCCTTTTTGATGATTACAATTTAAAAATAATTTTCTTGCTTATCAAAGGAAGAATCACAAATCTGAGAGTGCTGGAAGATCAAATCATTAATTATGTGAAGCAATTTGGAACTTTTTCTTAGTAACCATTTTAAAGTGTGTTCCTATACTTTATCTTAGTCCATGTTTTATTCGGATAAAAATAATGGAGGGAAAACGTTGAAGAAGTAGTTTATGATTAAAACACAAAAATTAGTGCAAGTAAGTCCAATTAAGTGTACTGTAGCGCCAAAAGAAGCATATTAGCCACATTTTGTAATTTGATTTTTTATTTAGCTTTTTGAGTATAAATTAGAAATATACTTGACAAAAAGTTTTACCTTAGATATCAGGAACCAACCTCGGTAAAAATAAAACATAATGTAAAGAATATAAGAACATAAAATAATAAATACGTAAATACATAAAGATATATATTCATGTAAAAGACAGTACAATAAATCAAAACAAATGAATAATATTATGAATTCAATATATTAAAAAAAACGCTTATTGCTGCTTGAATTTACATTTTTTCTTGTTTTGTCTTAAGCGTATCGGCGACCGGTATATGTACCAGTATTTCATTTATTGTATTCAACTTCAGTCCAGTAAGTTTTTTTTTTTAATTTATATAAAGATATAAGCCAAACTAAATGCAAAATGAAGTGCTTTGAATCTGATTTCATGGACTTTCCCCTGATATGGTAACACTCAGTTAATGATACACATCATGAACAGAGTGAACCAGTATGAGGAATGCATTGGTGTTTTGAGAGAGTACTCATGATGGGTGTGTTTGTGAATATGAGGATGAGTGTATGTACATGCGTTTGTGTGGTTGTACCTCTGGGCTCTTACCCAAGAGGTGTATTTTATTGTATATATGCCATTTTTCAACGCGGGGAATCATTCATGTGGAATTACGTTGTGGCTGGTTGTAGAACTCAGAACTCAATCAAACTGCTCTTACAACCGAAATAGTCCGCGTACATCGGAACGTGTCCTTAACATAGTTAAGTTTAGGCTCCTGTTGACAATTTAAGTACACAACCCAACGGAAAATGCCTCGATAGGGAGGTACTTTCGAAACAAGATTCAGTGCACTCCACAAGGCGTTACTTGATGAGTCCTATATAAACCCCTGAAGAATTAAATTAAAGTAATGCGCTGTGTTATTCTTATATGCATAATTTCTTTTCATTTAAGTAATCGTTCACTAAAAAGAAACCGTTTTCACATCAGAAAATTAACAGAAATATTTGTTGCATAATTGTTTCATTTGAATTGAATAAAGAATTTACAACAATGAAGTGAAATGCATTCATAGATCTCAAAAACTTTGTTATTAGGTACGCCTTAATGGAGACATGTTTACTTTCATTTTAATATTGAATTTTAAAATAGGTACTTTTTGGGCATCAAAATGATACATTGTTCTTACATTATACAAAAATGTCTTTAATACTCTGGTGATTTTGAAAAACTGATTTCAAAGGATAGAATTCTATATCAGGTCCTTAAAAAAGAGCTGTAATTGAGAGTAGCTTCCACTGAATTTTAAATTATCTACCAAAATGCACTCTTCTTTGCAGGTGAAAAAAATCTATTGCAATTTGAAATGCTATTCACAAGGATTTAAAAAGGTGAAAAAATAAACGATTGAAAGTTCTATGATATTTACAATGTTACAAAGCTTCAAACTGTGTGAAGTTCAGATGTTCAACAATTTAAGTAAAAACGAACGCTTTGTCATAAATTTATTAAGTTGATTCCTCAACGTATTTCAATATAAATTACCATTTCTTTTTTAATATTTGCATATCCACTGCTCTCTCTCACTATGAACAGATAGTCATCAATTGCGTTCATAGGGTTATTCAATGAACATGGCATTATGAATAGCAATAGCTCTGCTGGCATATTTTCCATGATGCGCTATATATTATTGCAAATTAAAAAAACTTACCAAAACTTACCAAAAGTGCATTTGTATATGTTTACGGCTTTTTTGAAACTATGTAAATTATTAAAAATGAAATTAAGATACTTCAGTTGTATTTGTTAAATAAGCAATTGTCATACAAATACATGAGACCTTTGTCACAATTTCCTATTGGTCGTTCTCAAAGATAATAGACATTTACTCCACTGTTATAATTAATACTTCTTTGTTTTTATATCAGTTCACATCCG